GGGAGTTTAGTTTTCTTCCATTTCCGCTCCGCTGCCCGGAGCTCTGTTCTGTGAGCTCGCAATGAGTCATCAAGCCACGGAGCTGGAGGGGAGGACCGAGCCGGCCGGGAGGATAGGGGACACAGAGAGTCAAAGGATGCAGAAAGGGAGGAGAGGAGGGTTGAGGAGGCAGAATCAGGAGATTGGAGGGAGAAGGATTGAGCAGAGGGAAGAGATGATAGGATGGAAGAGGAGAGAGTAGTGGGAGAGAGAGAGCGAAGGTTGCGGCGGCGCATTACCATCTGTGTAGGGGCAGAGTGAGTAGTGTGGGAGGAGAGCGAGAGAGAAAAGGAAACAAAGTAGTGGTCGGAGACATGGAGGGGAGTTGCAGTGAGATTAGTAGAGGAGCAGCATCTAGTGAAGATGAGGTCAAGCGTATTGCCTGCCTTGTGAGTAGGGGGGGACGGTGAGAGGGTGAGGTCAAAGGAGGAGAGGAGTGGAAAGAAGGAGGCAGAGAGAAATGAGTCAAATGTGGACATAGGGAGGTTGAAATCCCCCAAAACTGTGAGGGGTGAGCCATCCTCAGGAAAGGAACTTATCAAGGCGTCAAGCTCATTGATGAACTCTCCAAGGGAACCTGGAGGGCGATAGATGACAAGGATATTAAGCTTAAATGGGCTAGTGACTGTGACAGCATGGAATTCAAATGAGGAGATAGACAGATGGGTTAGGGGAAAAATTGAGAATGTCCACTTGGGAGAGATGAGGATTCCTGTACCACCACCCCTCTGACCAGATGCTCTCGGGGTATGCGAGAACACATGGTCAGACGAGGAGAGAGCAGTAGGAGTAGCAGTGTTTTCAGTGGTGATCCATGTTTCCGTCAGCGCCAGGAAGTCGAGGGACTGGAGGTTGGCATAGGCTGGGATGAAGTCAGCTTTGTTGGCAGCAGAGCGGCAGTTCCAGAGGCTGCCTGCGACCTGGAACTCCAGGTGTGGGGTGCGTGCAGGGACCACCAGGTTAGAGAGGCAGCAGCCACGCGGCGTGGTGCGTTTGTGTAGTCTGTGCAGAGAGGAGAGAACAGGGATAGGCAGAGGCATAGTTGACAGGCTGTAGCAAATGGCTACAAAAATGCAGAGGAGATCAGAATGAAATGAGCTAAGCATCTGGGAGAGGAGAGAGCAGGGCCTCCCTCACCAAAAACTTCTACCTCAGAAACTAAAATTGTTTCACTGAACCACCCGAACAAAAACTCTCCCAACTTCCACCTTTAGAAATCAGAATTGTTGTGAACCACAGCGGTTCAATGTTTAAAGGAATAGACTCAACCCACTTTATTCAGCTAGCTAACTATGACACCATAGCTAACTAGCATGCTAGCATCCAATAACAATAACACACAGTTTAGCACCAACACTTGGTCACAACAAACCACCAATAGTGTGATAACACACTAAACAGATCATTCGTGTCTGTGTCAAGTTCCTTTCATGACGCAGCAATGATTAAACGTTGGCTAGCTAGGACAAGTATATTGTATTTAGCTACTACAGTACAGTTAGCTGGTCGTGTTGGGTAGCTAGCAATGGCCACTGTGTTGACTTTGTTTGAAGAACGGCTAGCTAGCTAGCTTCGTGCTACACCCGGCACACAATGGCTACTGTGTTGACTCTGACTCTGTTCGAAAAACGGCTAGTTAGCTCGCTTCGTGCTACAGCCGGCACGGCCGAAGACACTGCCAACCTACAGTAACTACCCACAACAACCCACAATGCCTAGCTATGACGCCATAGCTAACTAGCATGCTAGCATCCATTAACACACAGTTTAGCACCAATACTTGGTTACAACAAACTGCCAAGAGTGTGTTAGCACACTAAACAGATAATTCATGTCCGTGTCTAGTTCCTTTCATAACGCATAACGCAGCAAAAATTAAACGTTGGCTAGCAGCACATTAACATTGGAAACAGCTCTCCACCGTTGCTAAACGTTACCAGTAGCTACCCGCTAGCTAGCTAGCCTCGTGCTTCGATACTAACCTACAATTACCTACGGAAACCTACAATAACAACAATACTAACCTACAATAACTACAATACCTAACTACAACTAACTACCTACCTACGATCTAATACATGGTTAAGCTTTACTCAACACCATATGAGAAGCTTACCTCCTGCTTACCTCCTGCCAGGAACCTCACGATAAGATATATGCATTGCGAGTCTCATGATTCTATACGTATTGCGATTCGATACTGTGATTTTATTGCGCACCATATGTCTGTTGCAGAGGGATCAGAAAGCCATGAGAACGAGTTTTGATCAGTCATGGAAATAAAAGTGCTGAAAACAAATTGGCTCCCAATGTGAAAAGATTGAGAACAAGCTATGAAGGAACAATAATGGTGTTTTGGTGCAGGTACAGCCAACTAGCGCTAAAATATTGCGATATTGTCAATACAGTATATCGTAAAGTATCACTATGTAACTCGATTTCTTTCACCCCAATCCCTCAAATTAACGGTAAATAACTGAATTGTTTGCCCCACATTTAGCTAAGATGATTAGCTAGCCAGCTAAAATGTTTTATTTAGTTAGCAGTCGCATCTACAATAGTTTACTGTCAATAACATGTCTCCAAAAATGACGTGGTGTCTCCAATTGTGTTGACATTTTACAATTGCGATGCGCATCCATGAGTATCCACTTTCTGTAGCTCAGCTGGTAGAGCACGGCGCTTGTAACGCCAAGGTAGTGGGTTCGATCCCCGGGACCACCCATACACAAAAATGTATGCACGCATGACTGTAAGTCGCTTTGGATAAAAGCGTCTGCTAAATGGCATATTATTATTATTATTATTATTATCTGAAGAGTGCCCCGAAACATTGTGTGCAGACATTTTATGCAATAAATGAAGTAGGTTGAATCTAGTAGTTCTGATCTTCTGATTGGTCCTGATGAGTTGGGCGAGGTCCCCTCCAGGCTACTGTCACTGTTGCATTGGCTCTGAGTCGGGTTCTCTGTCTTCAAATGTTCAGCCTAAGAGAGGGGATTTTTGTGTGTGTGTGTGTGTGTGTGTGTTTAACAGTGATGATGTGTCTCCTTTCCCCCTTCTGATAACCAGGTGGCGAATCGCATCTCTGCATGTCTGGCAGACATATCAGTATGGATGACGGATCACCACCTCAAGCTGAACCCTGGCAAGACGGAGCTGCTCTTCCTCCCGGGGAAGGACTGCCCGTTCCATGATCTCGCCATCACGGTTGACAACTCCGCTGTGTCCTCCTCCCAGAGTGCGAAGAGCCTAGGCGTGACCCTGGACAACACCCTGTCGTTCTCCGCCAACATCAAGGCGGTGACCCGCTCCTGCAGGTTCATGCTCTACAACATTCGGAGAGTACGACCCTGCCTTACACAGGAAGCGGCACAGGTCCTAATCCAGGCACTTGTCATCTCCCGTCTGGACTACTGCAACTCGCTGTTGGCTGGCCTCCCTGCCTGTGCCATTAAACCCCTACAACTCATCCAGAATGCCGCAGCCCGTCTGGTGTTCAACCTTCCCAAGTTCTCTCACGTCACCCCCCTCCTCCGCACACTCCACTGGCTTCCAGTTGAAGCTCGCATCCGCTACAAGACCATGGTGCTTGCCTATGGAGCAGTGAGGGGAACGGCACCTCTGTACCTTCAGGCTCTGATCAGTCCCTACACCCAAACGAGGGCATTGCGTTCATCCACCTCTGGCCTGCTGGCTCCCCTTCCTCTGCGGAAGCATAGCTCCCGCTCAGCCCAGTCAAAACTGTTCGCTGCTCTGGCACCCCAATGGTGGAACAAGCTCCCTCACGACGCCAGGACAGCGGAGTCACTCACCACCTTCCGGAGACATTTGAAACCCCACCTCTTTAAGGAATACCTGGGATAGGATAAAGTATTCCTTCTAACCCCCCCCCCCCCAAATTGTAAAGTGGTTATCCCACTGGCTATAGGGTGAACGCACCAATTTGTGAGTCGCTCTGGCTAAGAGCGTCTGCTAAATGACGTTAATGTGCCCTTGAGCAAGGCACTTAACCCTAATTGCTCCTGTAAGTCGCTCTGGATAAGAGCGTCTGCTAAATGACTAAAATGTAAATGTAAATGTAAATGTGTGTGTGTGTGTGTGTGTGTGTGTGTGTGTGTGTGTTTAACAGTGATGATGTGTGTGTGTGTTTGTGTGTGTGTGTGTGTGTGTCCTCAGAGCAAGAACTCGTGAGTTGGAAGAACTGAGAGGCCTATGGCGTGGGTGTTGTCCTTGGCCACCTGCTGACAAGGCTGACAAGATAGGACCCTTTTGTCCATTGTTATTGGATAGGAACAGAACTTATAACCAGCTCCTGACCTAAATAGATCTTAGCACAACATTTTACTCAACATATCATATTCCATATTCACTATAACAAATATATTTACTACGACATTAGCAAGAACCGCCACATCCTCAGCCGGCTAATCCAGTGTGTGAAGTTTTGCGGAGTGTTTGAGTTAGCTTTGCGAGGCAAAGATTAAACTGAGGGCTCCACCAACCCTGGTAAGCCAACACTTTTGAGATCAGTCAATAAATGCTTCTGGTATTGACTTATATGCTGCCCCTGTCTTCATGTTGTTGCTGGACATATCTTTTTTAAAATGTGTGTAGGTCACCTAAATCATCAGAAAAATTGCCCCCCCTGAGAATTTTTTCAGGAGCCGCCACTGCTCTCTGTTTCCTGTCTTTGATGCAACTGTTAAATGAAATTGTCCATGACAATTGTGATTTTTATTAACATTAGATTGCATATGATATCCTTTTTATTCAAAGTACATCAATGTATGGTTCCTTCATATTTTCTTATGACAACAGCTGTTATAAGAAAAGAAGAACACGTGTTGTGGGTCCAATCAAGAGAAGCCTTGCTATCCCACCGGCCGATAGATGGCGCTGTTTAGAAATCAGGACAACTCTAGTTCACTCAACTAACTCGTCCTTTATTCGTTGAGTGTAGTCACGTGGGTTACTGGGCGGAAGAGAAGAAAACGTGGTCGTTTGGGGATCGCAACGTCGTGTTTTCTGTCTTGCAAATCGTTTTAGTTCTGTTAAAAATAATCAAACAAGGGTCATGACAGAAACAAAGGCACGGGCGGCTACAAAGCCGGCTAAGGCTTTACTGGCTTTGAACCCTAAAGAGGAGGTTGAATTCAAGAAGAAAGTCCAGGAGGTGAAGAAGCGACCCAACAAGGTTAGTTTGCCCAAACGCACGCGACACTGCCTGTGGCCTGAAAGCCACAATCCACACGTGGAACTTGCAATCTAGCTAGACTGCTACAATTAAATAATAATCGTCGTTTATTTTTAAGCAATGGACTTGTTAGTTCATCCAACCATTTATTTTCTTAATTGTTTCCTCAAGGGATGTGCTGCTAGTTACATTAACTTGCTAGTTAGCTAGCTAACGTTAGGTGGCTAATTTAACGTTAGCTATCAAACTTTGACAGAGTATTGATCTTCTTAGTAAGTTTTGGGTTATGTTTTGACACATTTTACCAATTTTTCTACAGGGACACCAAATAAGTCCAGGAGTGATCTATGTTGGTCATCTTCCGACTGGCTTGTTCGAACCTCAGCTCAAATCCTACTTTGAACAGTTTGGAAAAGTCGTCAGGTTACGACTGGCCAGGAGTAAAAAGGTATCGTCGATCTCTGATCAGTGCTCTTATGAATAAGATGGTGGATATAGTCAGCCTACTTGTCAAGGCAAACATGTACTTTATATTTTGACAAACACTCTGACATGCAAATTACTTGATTCATCACATGATTGACATGGATTATGGCACCGTCTGAAAATAACCTCAGGTGTACCAGTTGCCTGGGGTGAGATAACTGTGCCAACAGTATTGTGGTACGTTAAGCTTATTGCCTGCTCTGTATAGCAGTGTGATTAAACCCATGTGCCCACACTAATTTACTGTACAACCACTCATACGTAGTTATATAACATTAATTGCAAGTGAACATGGATAGAATTTATGTTTCATGGTCAAACCTAAATAATACATTATATGATAGAGATCAGATTGAGGGTAACCCATTCATAGAAGCTAACTACCTTTAGCGCCTACTGATGATAGTATGTTATGGCCTGGGAGCCCCGATGCGCATACTAAACTTTAAAACGCATTTGTTGCGGTACGTTTTTTAGAAACATAAAGAACGTATATTTCATATCACCCAGAAATAATTGTCTAAAAACAGCAGGTTAAATTACTACACCATTATAGGTTAAGGGTTAATTTTCCCCACACAACCATATCGCCATGTTGTTTACATAAGACAGGCGGCCATCTGTGCTCATTAACTATCTAGAATGCCCCGAACTCCTGTGCATAACTGGGGAGGAAGTGTAGTTGGGCTCCCGAGTGGCGCAGCGGTCTAAGGCACTGCATCTCAGTGCTTGAGGTGTCACTACAGACCCCCTGGTTCGATTCCAGGCTGTATCACAACCGGCCGTGATTGGGAGTCCCATAGGGCGGCGCACAATTGGCCCAGCGTCGTCCGGGTTTGGCCAGTGTAGGCCGTCATTGTAAATAAGAATTTGTTCTTAACTGACTTGCCATGTTAAATAAAGGTTAAGTAAAAAAAATAAAGAGGCACACAGCATATGGATCTATCATCTGTGCGAAACTGCTACAGTAAGTGTATATATTTTTATATTACATTTTCTTTCTCGCTGATATGAAAGATAAGGGGCATATGTTTCAAAAACCGCAAGCAATGATTATTGTCATTTCTAAAAGTTAAAACACAGCGTCGGAATTGTCGTTCACATGCAGCCAACAGTGGGCTAATCGAACCGCAGAAAACCCCACGGATAAGAAGGGTTTTCAAGAGCTAGATTGAGGGGTGATCCAGTGGAAACCATTTGACCCCTCCCCTTCCTCTCAGACAGGTGGGAGCAAAGGCTATGCATTTGTGGAGTTCGACTGTGATGATGTCGCCAAGATCGTTGCTGAGACCATGAACAACTACCTGATGGGCGAGAGATTGATCAAATGTAAGTTATCTGAAGAAATAAGATGCCTTTTTGCTCATAATTTAAACCCAGTCATACGTTCAGGTCTAACGTTTGCCCCTCGCTCTTGATGTCTTGTGTGTGTATTTTGTGGGAGGAGAGAAGAAGATACAGAGATGGACTAATAAAGTTGTATGCTGTTCCACAGGTCACCTGGTCCCTGCTGAGAAGGTGCATGAGAAGCTGTTTGTGGGATCACAGAGAGAGTTTAAGAAGCCCAGGCAGCCTGCTGTGGCTCGCTACAACAAGAGACACACACCAGAGGCGGTCACGGAGATGACTGGGAGGCTACTGCGCAAAGAATCCAAGCTCCGCAAGAGGCTGGCAGAGAAGGGAATCGACTACGACTTCCCAGGATTTGTAAGTTTTGCATTTGACTCAACGGTTCAATAGATGTTTCTTTTTTGTGTGAAATTAGTTAAAATTCAATACATTCACATTTTTAAAACAATTTTATGTATTGAATTTGAACCTGTATCATTTTCTTGTATCCTAATCTATTGTAAACTCTTGAAGGCTTCCCAAGTGCCACAGAAGAAAAAGTTAGATGACACTGTGAATGCCTCCACATGTAGTGAGGTAAGGACAATTAATCTGAAATGTACATGTTTGTGAATGACTACTTTGAACTACAGGATGCTTTTATGTTGTTGTATATAGCTATGCTTTTTGGCACATTCTGAAAATAACCTCAGGTGTACCAGTTGCCTGGGGTGAGATAACTGTGCCAACAGTATTGTGGTACATTAAGCTTATTGCCTGCTCTGTTAGCAAGGTGATTAAACCCATGTGCCCACAGTCACCTCACAATATCTAACAAGTAAATTATTCTCGCACTCAGTAAGAATAATACCCACTCATTGGCTTGTTATTCTGCACAGTGAACATGTTCCCACCCATAGAGATAAATCAATGGAGAGGCTGATGTCATAGAGCCCCAATGCTCTGAAATTGAAATATTTGTAGGCCATCTTACCTGGGTATAACATCCTGTGTTGATGTCTGTTTCCCCTCAGGATATCACCCCAGTGTGCACCCCCTCAGTCCTGGAGAGGAGGAGGTCCATGAAGATCAACGAAGACGACAGCGATGGTGAAATCATCATCAAGAATACACCAGCCCCCAAAAAGTCCAGAGGCAGACGTAAAAGAGCGGAGACAGGCGACGAGGAGTTCTCAGAGGAGGAGGAAACTGAGGAGGAGTCCTTCCTAGAAGGGAGCGAGGAGCCTTCGGAGGGGGACGTGGAGCCCATTGTCAAGGAAGGAGGCGCAGATTGAACAAACGTTAACACTGACGTTGAAGGACAATAACTCGCTTTAATTGCCTTGCATGTAAAGCAGAGACATTTGTACATGGTGGTTGGTTGGACCTCTATATAATTTCCCAGAGGAGAATGGCTAAAGAACCAATGACTGTTGGCAGTTGAGTGTTAACCTATGAACCTGTATAGCACCTCCTAAAGTCCCACAGCTTTACCATAAGGTGAAATGACAAAGCAGCATATTTACTTGTCACGCCAAACTATGAGAAAATAAATATTATCAGTAGTTGGGTGGTGTTGCATTTGTAGCCATACAGACTAAAAAGAGATGTAATTATTTTTAATCGGTATGGCGATGTGGACTCATGCTGCTCTTATCCATCTGCAGTTATTTTTGATTACATTTATTTGTCAATGTGCTTTGGTATTTTGGGTTGTCAAAATAAATGGTCATGATCTGTAATAAATATAAAACCTTCAATATTGGGTTTGGCTATTGTCACATCATTGGTAATGCCACGAAAGCCATCTATTCTATTTGAAAATATTTGTTTAGGCCACATGATGTCGCTAAAGGCTAGTGGCTTACGCCTCGATCACACCGACAGTCATATTGCATTTTGGCACACCGTTCATTTCTAATGGTACGTTGCGGAGGCAGTTGCAGTGCGTTCTGTGCAGTGCATATGTTGGATTTCTCTGACGTACAGTACCAGTCAAGTTTGGACACCTACTCATTCAAGGGGTTTTTCTTTATTTTTTAATATTTTCTACATTGTAGAATAATAGTGACGACATCAACAATGAAATAACACATGGAATCATGTAGTAACCAAAAAAGTGTTAAACAAAGTAGCCACCCTTTGCCTTGATAGCTTTGCACACTCTTGGCATTCTCTCAACCAGCTTCACCTGTAATGCTTTTATAACAGTCTTGAAGGAGTTCCCACATATGCTGAGCACTTTTTGACTGCTTTTCCTTCACTCTGTGGTCCAACTCATCCCAAACCATTTGGGTTGAGGTCGGGGGATTGTGGAGGCCAGGTCATCTGATGCAGCACTCCATAACTCTCCTTCTTGGTCAAATAGTCCTTACACAGCCTGGAGGTGTGTTGGGTCATTGTCCTGTTGAAAAACAAATGACAGTCCCACTAAGCGCAGACCAGATGGGATGGCGTATCGCTGCAGAATGCTGTGGTAGCCATGCTGGTTAAGTGCCTTGAATTCTAAATAAATCACACAGTGTCACCAGCATAGCACCCCCACACCATTACACCTCCTACATGCTTCACGGTGGGAACCACACATGCGGAGATCATCTGTTCACCTACTCTGTGTCTCACAAAGACACGGCGGTTGGAACCAAAAATCTCACATATGCACTCATCAGACCAAAGGACATATTTCCACCGGTCTAATATCCATTGCTCATGTTTCTTGGCCCAAGCAAGTCACTTCTTATTGGTGTCCTTTAGTAGTGGTTTCTTTGCAGCAATTCGACCATGAAGGCCTGATTCACGCAGTCTCCTCTGAACAGTTGATGTTGATATGTGTCTATTACTTGAACTCTGTGAAGCATTTATTTGGGCTGCAATTTCTGAGGATGGTAATCCTCTGCAGCAGAGGTAACTCTGGGTCTTCCTTTCCTGTGGCGGTCCTCATGAGAGCTAGTTTCATCATAGCGCTTAATGGTTTTTGTGACTGCACTTGAAGAAACTTTCAAAGTTCTTGAAATGTTCCGGATTGACTGACCTTCATGTCTTAAAGTAATGATGGACTGTTGTTTCTCTTTGCTTATTTGAGCTGTTCTTACCATAATATGGTATTTTACCAAATAGGGCTATCTTCTGTATACCACCCCTACCTTGTCACAACACAACTGATTGGCTCAAACGCATTAAGAAGGAAAGAAATTCCACAAATTAACTTTTAAGAAGGCACACCTGTTAATTGAAATGCATTCCAGGTGACTACCTCAAGAAGCTGGTTGAGAGAATGCCAAGAGTGTGCAAAGCTGTCATCAAGGCAAAGGGTGGCTACTTTGAAGAATCTCAAATATAAAATATATTTGGATTTGTTTTTTAAAAATGTGGTTACTACATGATTCCATATGTGTTATTTCATAGTTTTGATGTCTTCACTATAATTCTACAATGTAGAAAATAGTAAAAATAAAGACAAATCCTGGAATGAGTAGGTGTGTCCAAACTCTTGACTGGTACTGTATGCGTCAAACAATGCATAGAGGGCTTGACATAAATGGTAGCAGAAGGTGACTGGAACTTTTGAAGCACACATCCAGATGATGCTGAGTACTATACTATCGGTGTGATGAAGGCGTTACAGACAACAGAGTGTGAGTTGCTTGGGTGGATCTGGCACCATTGCGCCTCCCTTCACGTAAGTGACTGAGTTGCTGTAGCACTGTCTTCAAATTTAGAAAAGCTGCATTCACGCAAGTACTAGCTACACCGAGGGCAATTTAATCCAAGGAAGGAAATATATTTATCTTGGAGAGAAGTAGTGAACAACAGAATTGTGAGTGCGCCAATTTCCAGGCGCATCCCCTGTCAATACCATTCTTGTTCAGCAAACGGCATTCTGGGTGGAGACTGAGGTGCCTCGATGCTGCTCAATAGTCATAACCCGACAATATTTACAAATACTTCAGATATTTGTATTGCTTTCTGAGAATGGCATGGTAAGTAATAAGACAAACCTTTTCAAATGTATGCATGTTTTCATTCAGAATAGATTTTCACATTGTGTGAAGTGGTAACGTTAGCTAACAGTAAGCTAGCTATGTGAGGTCTGACGTTTAGCTAATCAATGAAAAGGGGCTAGCGCTAGTTGAAATATAGGGTGTCTACCGTAACGCTTGGCTCCGGCCGTACTAGCTACAATCGCTGTCAAAATATGCGGTTGTTTTGAATGTGTTAACATTGTGTTTCCATTGAACTGTCAGTCTCTTATAGGAATTTGTGGTTTATTTTAGCGAATACGACTGCTGCTGTTGGCTAGCTGTCAGCCACAAGCAGATACAAAAGCTAGCTAGGTACATTCAGTAGCAAACTGTACAAGGCTACTGGTACAATAATTCAAGCACAAGGATGCGTGTCATCATTGTGTCTGTTCATTCATTGTAGCTAGCTAAACGTTTCTGCTTTCTCTGTGTTTTCAGTGTAAATAACAAAACAAAAGAATGGTGCCTGACAAGTCTTGCTTGTGTTGTATGACTTCTTAGGTTGTGGGTCTGACAGTCTTTGTTTAAATAATCCTCTGTGAGTGTGCTCGGTCTATTCATGCAATCTGACAGTCCCCACAAACTGAGAACCATGATAATACAGTCCGTTGTTTACATGAAATTAGTTGATATAGCCTGGTCCCAAGACTACCATGGCATGATAACGACCATAAGAGTTAGCAAAACAGCAGAGACTTGGGACCAGGGTATATCACCTGTACATATAACAGATATTTAATATAAGATAGCCTACTTCATGGTTATTGGTTTGTGGGTAATGTCAGACTTTCTGACAGTGCAAATCTTTGTCCCTTTAGCAGTTTGACATGTCTTACCAAACACTGACTGCATTTGTATTGTCCAGACAGAGACGAATTCTACATACTTCTTAGGAGAAGTATGCATTTCTTGCTGGCAGGTCACATCATACACAAACAAAGCCGATTTGATATGACGTGTCAACATTGCAGTAGGGCATTTCCATCTAAAAGGACCCATGAGAAGCAACATGTGAAGTTCATAGGAGCCTTGTAATTCTGTTCGAAAAAACATATCTTTAAGAGATTTTCTAATTTCTCTCCCTCATGAGGGACAATAATGAAAGTTCACAGAAGTAACAAGTGAAGGTAGATCTACCAATTAGTTATAGGGTTTTTACTGATATCAAGTTTGTTTTAGGATTTATTAAGTGATTCAAACTCGTAATTCTGTAATTACTGCAATTGAATAGGCTACAAAGGGAAATCATAGTAGTCACAAACCACAGTTGGGTCACCTGCTAGTGTCCTACCTTCCACTGGCATACTGTTATGTTCAGCTCATAACTGTTTTCTTTCTCTTTCTATCGTTTGGTGGTCAAAGCAAGACAGAACAGTCTGGAAAACCCCTCACTCTCCCTCTTTCTCTCTCTTTCTCTCTCTCTCTCTGCATCTCTCTCTCTCTGCCTCTCTCTCTCTTTCTCTGCCTCTCTCTCTCTCTGCCTCTCTCTTTCTCTACCTCTCTCCAGTTAATGTCAGCTCTCCCAGTTCTTACTGACACCTACCATGACACCTATGACCTACCCTCTTTCCATTTACTGTAACAAGTATCCTCCCCCACTGAGCACTGACCGACACCGGACGTCCATGGACGTGGAAAAGTAGTTGAAATTTGGTCTGTCCGCCCTGGCCAGACCAAATCAGAACCAATCATAGACGTCTATGTTTCACAAGTTTGGACAGTACAGTAGAGAACAATAAAGAAAAGTAGAGTTCAGCACAGTAGAGTAGAGCACACTAGAGTACAGTAATGTATTGTACTGTACTGAACATATCTACTTTAATGTACTGTACTCTACTGTGATGTCCAAACTTGTGAAACATAGACGTCTATGATTGGTTCAGATTTGGTCTGGTGCGGACCTGGTCTTGTTTGGGGGCGGAGCTCTTTAGACTAATAGCCAGTGTGTAGAATAATACACAAATATGCAAAAGAAGGATATTGCGTATTTCTACCTATTCAACATACATCCCTATGAAGAGAGTGACTTTCATATCCATAATTCTGCATTTCTGTATAGTACAGATCAGGGACCCATGATGTAATTCCCTTACCGGATGGAAATCCACTTCACCTACTGTAGTTCAATAACCTAAATTCTAATTTAAAAACTCAAGGTTTCATAGCAGACACCCCATCCCATCTGCAGACATCTTTGAATCTTAATTCGGAGCAAATATTTAAAAGGTTTTGGAAAACATGGTTGTAAACGTGGTCGCATCTGCACAGTTCTTCCAGTAAATGTGTTTTTGTTAAATTTGTTCAAAGTAGTCCTTGCATAGAGTTGTATGGTTTGTTTAACTTTGAAATTACTGGTTTTTGTTTGGCATACATTTTACATTGATACATCTGAGTCTCAGTGTAATTCCTTTATTGTGGAATTGCCCAGTAACTCACAGGGGTTGGGGGCTCCAGTGAACTTTACATTGACCCAAGTTGCCATGGCGGCAGGTTGTGTATCGTTTACAATTTGAAGACAGGAGGGTGGGATTGTGTTAACGGCCTCCCCTTCTCTATTCTTGACCCCAGGCCTTCCCGGGAACCAGGGACCACTAAGTTATGAAGCTCTTCCCTTCCAGACCTTCCCTGCTCTCCATCTCCAGTTACTGTCACTGCCTGAGCGTTACCTGCTGTTGCTCTCACGACCATCTCTGCCCAGCCTGGTACTAACAGCTTGGCTCAGACTCACTTCAACACAAAGAAGAAAAAAAGAGCAAGAGAAGAGAAGAAGAAAACCCTCCCCAGCTGCCATCCAGACACACATGGTGCATAGCTGCCATTCCCCAGGCTCCCTCCATACCCGCGGCCTGACCTCTAGCTCCTGGCACTCATCACACAGCCTAGCCCAGGGCCTGCCCAAGGGATATAAATAGGCTACATCCATCCAGGGTGTGGAGCGTGCTCTTGTGTTTCCTTTTTCCCCCAGGTCACACACACGCCCGGTGGGGGTCACACCCATTTGTTTTCGCTCTTCCCGCTGCCTGGAGCAGTGGGAGCTAGTGGTGGGAACGAGGAGGGAGAGACGAGGCCGAGACCATGGAGGTCAATATGGAGTACTGTCTGGCCCAGGTGGTGCAGAAAGACCTGGGGAGGAAGGTGCAGGTGGGACAGGAGCTCATAGATTACATCCTGGATAAGGACAGGTCCCAGGATCTGGAGCAAGACCAGACAGGTCTGGACAGGATGGTGGACAGCATCGCTACAACCTGGGTCAACTGCTCCAACTTCAAGGTAAGATGGGTGAATATGCAGTCAGAGAGCAGCTAGATAGCTGCATGTCATCATCACACAAAGAGAGGCATAGATACATGAAGGGCTTCATGAGAGTAGTTAGCTACTCGTTCTAATATTTCTTAATTTCTTTTTTGATTTGTGTGTATTGTTAGGTATTACTGCACTGTTAGTGCTAGGAACTCAAGCATTTCACTACACCCACGATAACATCTGCAAAATATGTGTACGTGGCCAATATAATTTTATTTTATTTTATTTACATGTCATCAGGGGTAAAGCAACACAAACAAATCCCATGACTGAAACGTAAAGCTGCTATGTGTAACTTTTTGGGCGATCCTTCAAAATGCACATTGAAATGTCATGTTCGATATTTCTATGCTTCCAGTTTTTATGGTTCGTTTTTGCGTCTTTTACTTTCGGTTTTCTACACCAGTTTCAAACAGCTGAAAATACAATATTTTTGATTATGGAAAATATATTTCACAGCGGTTTAGATGGTACAATGGTTCTCTACATTATACTTGCTTGTTTTGTCACAAAGTGAAATTAGGCAAACTAATTTTAGCAACCAGGAAATGGCGGAGCGATTTCTGCATGGTGCATCTTTAAGTCGATCTCAGATCGATTGTTTACCTCCCCTTTCATAAAAAAAAAGTTATGACCATCATGCTTTTGGGGAAAAATGATCATTTTGTAAATTTTGTATTAAACTGCAAGTTTGACTAATTCCAGTCCTTCAAAAAAAAAAAAAATGTTTTTATCCATATGACGGAAATCCATTGCAGTGACTGAGAACTTGAACTCCTGCATCATTCATAGAGGGAGATATCAAAGGCACTCTGGAGATAAATTAAGAGTGGTGAATGGGGATAGTGAGAGCTCAAAGGGATGGGTGGCTTGTTGTCAACATTTGACCTATGAAGAATGTGAATTGGAAAGCTAGAGCAAGGTGGAGAGGGAGGCTATATTGTGGGGCCAGACTGTCCAATATCCTTTAGGGGATTTGTCCTCTGGCTGTTGTTGGGTTGGTAGACAGAGTAAACTAATGGCATTGATCTTGTGTTGGCATTCAAACATGTTGGTTTTCATCCATGTTATTCAATAAATCAACAGCATAATCCCGCTTTTCAGATACGAATGCAAAAAAAAGGGATACTTCAGGATTTTGGCAATGAAGCTCTTTATCTACTTCCCAGAGTCAGATGAGCTCGTGGGTACCATTTTTATGTCTCCGTGTGCAGTTTGAAGGAAGTTGCTAACTAGCATTAGCGGATTGACCGGAAGTATATGGTAACTGCTAGCATGCTAGTAGATGCGATAGACTTCCAGTCATTGCGCAAACACTAGTTAGAGGTAGCTTCGAGAGCCAATGCTAACTAGTGTTTGCGCAATGACTAGAAGTCTATCGCATCTACTAGCATGCTAGCAGTTACCATATACTTCCGGTCAATCCGCTAATGCTAGTTAGCAACTTCCTTCAAACTGCACACGGAGACATAAAAATGGTACCCACGAGCTCATCTGACTCTGGGGGAGTAGATTGCCAAAATCCCAAAGTATCCCTTGAAGTTTAATGACATGAATCGACAAACTTGATTAAAACATGAATGTAATATATTATGCGGCTGAGCTGACCCATAAGATATCCGTTCCAAAGCATATCTTTACAGGGATAGCAGTTCACAGTCTTTCCTCCTTGCTAAGCATGTTTTATAGTGCATTAACTGGCCTATATACAGAACCAGTCAAAAGTTTGGACACACCTACTCATTCCAGGGTTTTTCTTAATTTTTTACTATTTTCTACATTGTAGAAATAACACATATGGAATCATGTAGTAACTAAAAAAGTGTTAAACAAATCAAAATATATTTTATATTTGAGATTCTTCAAAGTAGCCACCCTTTGCCTTGATGACAGCTTTGCACACTCTTGGAATTTATTTCCTTCTTAATGCGTTTGAGCCAATCAGTTGTGTTGTGACAAGGATAGCCCTATTTGGTAAAAGACCAAGTCCATATTATGGCAAGAACCGCTCAAATAAGCAAAGAGAAACAACAGTCCATCATTACTTTAAGACATGAAGATCAGTTAATCTGGAAAATGTCAAGAACTTTGAAAGTTTCTTCAAGTGCAGTCGCAAAAACCATCAAGCGCTATGATGAAACTGGCTCTCATGAGGATCGCCACAGGAAAGGAAGACCCAGAGTTACCTCTGCTGCAGCGGATAAGTTAATTAGAGTTAACTGCACCTCAGATTGCAGCCCAAATAAATGCTTCACAGGCCTACCACTGTTGTGTCGTCGGCAAACTTAATGATGGTGTTGGAGTCGTGCCTGGCCATGCAGTCATGGGTGAACAGGGAGTACAGGAGGGGACTGAGAACGCACCCCTGAGGGGCCCCCGTGTTGAGGATCAGCGTGGCAGATGTGTTGTTACCTACCCTTACCACCTGGGGGCGACCCGTCAGGAAGTCCAGGATCCAGTTGCAGAGGGAGGTGTTTAGTACCATGGTCCTTAGCTTAGAAAATAGTAAAATAGTAAAAATAAAGAAAAACCCTTGAATGAGTAGGTGTGTCCAAACTTTTGACTGTTACTGTAAGTTGCCTATGTAATGTGCCTGAGACAAGCAGAAGAACAGAATGGCAATACGGACGTTTTACCTGAGTCCTTCCTTCCATCTACAAGGATCACTTTACCTGAATACCGCACAATGCTTTTACACTGACATTGCACCTTAACATAAACTTCATTGTTTTATTTCAACAGCAGCTAAGATATTCATGTAAAAATGTAAGATTGATAATAATTTGGAATTCTTTCTGGGGCATACAGGCCTATGACCTATCTAGCCCAATTTGTGACTACACCAGCAGTCTGATTCGTTAATGCTCCTATTCTTTCCCATCTTTCTGTGTGGATATTTCCTTGCATTGTTTATGAAGCTGGTGATTTATTGTTGTGATACGCAGCTTATTGTATGCTGGTACCTTTTGAGATCTCTAGACAAAGCCATACTTTCCCTTGCCTACATAGTTTAAAGTGGGTCTCAGACTTTTGTCGGCCCTGTTTTGCCCCCTTGCAGTCTCTGTGTTTAGCTGCCTTTGCCCCAGGGCTCAGGCCCTCTGAGCTGGTAAACTAAACTAAGGCTAAGCGCTCCCAGGCAGTTCCCTTCGCCTGCTGTTTCTGGCACGGCTAGGAAGATGGTCATTAGGGCTGTGGCGGTCATGACACTTTATCAGTCGGTGGGCTATCTTGCACCCATCACGTGGAATTTGACTGCAGTCATGACTCGTGACCGCCGGGGCGGCAGGTAGTTTAGTGGTTAAGAGCGCTGTGCCAGTAACCGAAAGGTCGCTGGTTCTAATCCCCGAGCCGACCAGGTGAAAAATCAGTCGATGTGCCCTTGAGCAAGGCACTTAACCCTAATTGCTCCTGTAAGTCGCTCTGGATAAGAGCGTCTGCTAAATGACTCAAATGTAAATGTAAAATGTAATACGGTCACCATTACAGCCCTAATTAGGACCTGGATGCTGTGTTGGTACAGAGAGCAAGAGGCTTTAGGCCTAATTGGAGCTGGCCTGGTTACTGCTCAGCTGAAGGGGCTCCATAGGGGTTCTGTGATGACCGAGTGAGAGGGGTTCAGGGATGGGGCTCCACAGGGCCGAAGAGGGTTGTCCACAATCTTGTTTGTACCAATAGGCTTCTGACCTGGATCCTTCAGTGATGACACTAGTGCTCCGTCACAGGTCAAAGGGCTATGGTTCCAAAAGTCTTCCTCCTTTTCGCCACATCATTGTTTTAGTAACATGTAGTATGTTTCAGTGTGCTTCTAAAAGCTTAATGGTGGTCGCTGGTCAAATCAGCGTCAAAGGTCAGATGGGGCAGTTGGCCCATTGACAGGAAAATTATCCTCTGTCAGGTAGTGTAATGATTCTCTTCTGTGCCTCTGAAATGCAGGCCAGGCAGTGCCTAGACCTCGGAGCGGAGCGTGCCTGGACGCAGACTGTGGCTGATGGGCCGAGTAATGTGGAAAGTATTTGGAGGGAGGGACTGTGGTCTACGTGGATTGTGATCCTCCTTAAAACCTAGAACTAGGCCTATATCTGGTTCCGTCATCACTACAGGTCTGTTGATTGTCTTCATTGAATGGAAAGAGATCATATGTAATGGAATGAACAAGTGGTCCTATAGGCATACCCTCCATTCCCTAACAGAAGAATAGTCTCTCTCCTCCTGCTATTCTATATGTAGGCCAAGCCCGCCAACATAGTAACTGTCACTGCTCTACCTAAGCTGGTAATGGAGTGACGTGTGCGGAATTACTGTAGTAGTATTACTGTAGTATTTAATCCTTCATTTGGCAGACTGTCCCATTAAGACTTACAGGGATAACAACATAGTACCATGTCTGTCCCCTCAGCTCACAGTGGACTTCATCATGATTCGTACATATGCAATGAGGACATATAGTCTAACAACCGAGGGAGAACTGTGATAGTTGACATTTCCTTTCTTGCAATGGTTTTTCTGCTGCAGTCTTTCTTTTTATGTCTCTTCCATACATGGGTGTGTCTATTGACTCAGCAGCCTTGCCTCACTTCAACTCTTACACATCACTAATGTTAATTCATGTTGTTTATATTTCCCTTTCAAGATGATACGATACGTATCTAGATACATGGGTTCCGATTCGATACAGGAACGATACGTTTTAGTTTGAAATTATTCGGTGCGATTCGGTTTGATTAGAGAACGAATCGGTTCGATACGATTCGATGCACTAATATTTGTGGCATAAACACATTCATTTTCCAATCTAAATTAAATCTGCTGTTGATGGAGCTCATGAGCCGGGCCTCTCTGAGCCGGGCCTCTCTGAGCCGGGCCTCTCTGAGCCGGGCCTCTCTGAGCCGTGTGTGTGTGTGTGTGTGTGTGTGTGTGTGTGTGTGTATGATGTATGTTTATGGTGTATGTACATGGAGGCATCTGAGTTGAGCCATAAGGGAGGCTAGGTATCTACCACTATCAGATTAGAGGAGGCAATGTAGCCTATGTTTTTTGTCCCCCACTTTGGTTCTAAAATCACTATCACCCACTAATTAACTTTAATTTTTGCAGATTAAGTGTTTGAGCTAGTAATGTATCAATATTTTTCATTTACAAATTAGCTATGACATAGCCAATGAATATATAGCACCTTTTGGATTTCACCCCCATCTCAAAATCGAATGGTTTTGACCGTTTGGAAGTTTTTAGAGTGTTCTTCTCCTCTCGCTTCGGCCATGCAGCGCGCCCCTCATTTAAAAAAACATTTTAGTCATTTAGCAGACGCTCTTATCCAGAGCGACTTACAGTTAGTGAGTGCATACATTTTCATACTGGCCCCCTGTGGGAATCGAACCCACAACCCTGGCGTTGCAAGCGCCATGCTCTACCAACTGAGCTACACAGGCCCTCAAAAGTGATTGCTGTCCTCGTTATGAAATTAGCAACTTTACCCTGTATATCTAAAAATGACCATATACACTGATTGTTTAAAGCAAAACTATTGCTGATGGTGAACCTGAACAATCAAAGTTAAATTGTTATTAAATTATTGTAAGCAGCGTTCAGCTTACTTTTATTCTGGTAAAATATAATTTTCAACAGCAGCCAGAACTGAACGGGCACGCAGGGCACATGCCCCGGGGACGCCCAGATAGCATTTGATAGCAAAATGTGTAGAATTGCAGGAAAATAGCTTTAAAACTACATATTTTCTCAGCCTCATGGCAAAATGTGAGCAATAGCATGAAATGAGATATCAAAAAGCACATTTTTCTCTCAGACCCATGGCAAAAAATGTAGAATTGCAGGAAATTAGCTTAAACTGCAACATTTTCTCTTAGCCTCATGATCAAATGTGTAGAATATTTTCAACAGAATGTGTAGCAATGCAGGAAGTTAGCTGTTAAAAAAAATTAAAAATAACTGTCCCTCCCCCCCTTGGGGCCCCAAATACGGTAGTCCGGCCCTGTAGATAACAATATCCTAGCAAATTACATAAGTTGTCATTCACCTAATAAAGCCTAATATCACGCAAGCCATTTTATCATTTGAATATGCTGAAGGTGCCGCGCAGATGTGCAAGATCAGGAACAGGCCGCCTACCTCGCGGTGGTCAGTGCGTGAAGCTGGGCACAGTGCACAGTTTGCCTAGGTTACTGATATTGCCTAGGTTAATGACTGTCAACACAGTTACCTGCAGTTCGACACTGAACGAGAGGATGCATCAGTTGAACTGGCGATTTCATAACGTTGGAATCGATTTTCTGACCGATGCATGCTACATTTCAATCGGTTTGGTGTCCAAGGCCCGATGCACTTGTATCTTAAACATTTGAATCAGGGACCGATGCATATCGGTGAATCATGACTTCCCTAATTACCATGTAATTGTAGACCTAATGATAGTTTAATGATGTAGGTGTTTCTCTGCTGTTGAAAAAGATCAATCATCAAAGGGAACAGGGAGCAGTATTACACTGTCTTTATCACAGCTAATCCTAAGGCTTCTTCGGCAAGATTAAACAGTGTGTGTGTCTGTTGTCTGTGCACTGTGGCCTGTCAGAACATAGGTCTGTTTGCGGTACAGCGTATTTATATTTGGCACAGTGCGTGCTGGCTCTGCTCTCCTGCTTGTCAGGCGCTGCAGTATCCAATGAACAAACTAAGCATCACGTCTTCTTCAGCAATCACCAACTGACCCTGCTAAGGCTTTTCTGCCCCGCTGCACTCCATTAAAACACACTGATAATCTTCTCTACCGATCCACACCAAACTCCTGTATCCCTGTTTATATCTGCTTTGTTACCCAAAGCAGCAGCTGATCTCTCACACATATTCAATAGTTCAGGAAAAAATACCCATCACCAAGCTCAGCAAAAAATAACCTGTGCTGTAGCCTTTGTCTCACATTTTACCACTTGTAAATCTATGCATGATAGGGCTATTGTCTGTGCCAATCACACTGTGTAGCACACTGCAGCCCAGGGAAACCAGGTGAGCTGAGCCGTCTCTCTTGCCAAATCAATGACCTCACAGAATCAGCTGTTTGATGGGGCTTGAAGAAATCAGTCAGGCAACACCGCCTCAATGTCTCCACTCAGCCTCCCTACCTCTCCTACCCTCCCCATGCCTCAATGTAGCAGTGGAGGGTTCAGCCTGCTTATCATTCTCTCTCGTCTGTCTGTCTGTCTGTCTGTCTGTCTGTCTGTCCTCAGCAGGAAGCCTGTCTGTCTGTCTGTCCTCAGCAGGAAGCCTGTCTGTCTGTCCTCAGCAGGAAGTCTGTCTCTGTCTGTCTGTCTGTCTGTCTGTCTGTCTGTCTGTCTGTCTGTCTGTCTGTCTGTCTGTCTGTCTGTCTGTCTGTCTGTCTGTCTGTCTGTCTGTCTGTCTGTCTGTCTGTCCTCAGCAGGAAGCCTGTCTGTCTGTCTGTCCTCAGCAGGAAGCCTGTCTGTCTGTCTGTCCTCAGCAGGAAGTCTGTCTGTCTGTCTGTCTGTCTGTCTGTCTGTCTGTCTGTCTGTCTGTCTGTCTGTCTGTCTGTCTGTCTGTCTGTCTGTCTGTCTGTCCTCAGCAGGAAGCCTGTCTGTCTGTCTCCTCAGCAGGAAGCCTGTCTCTCTCTAGATTTGGGCTGAAGTGTTGTCTGTGAGTCTGTCTGCACTGAGGCATAGAGCGCTTTGACACTGAGCTATACCAAAATGCCTGTATGGGAAGACTATGGGCCCTGGTCAAAAGTAGTGCAATATATAAGGAATAGGGTGCCATTTGTGACAAAGACCCAGGGTGTTTCTCAATATGCATACTACCGTGCTCCACACACTCATGCTCTGAGTACATTCTCCGACCACGTTCTCTTGGGTATGTGGAGAATGCATAAAACATTACATTTTAGAAGCACTCACACTCCCCCTACTATATTACCTCACGCTTCACTGAACCTTCTTCCAGCCAGGACAATGGCAACAATAGACGAAACAAGATATACACAAAGCAAACGTTTTACTTCATAACTATTAGCTAGCTATATGTGAATCGTAATAATGTAGCTAACCAGATAGTTTAACAGGCAAAAATGACCTAAAACTAATATTATGCAAGATAGAGGTCAATTATTTGTGGGTAGCTAGCTAACAATTTTTCGTGGCTAGCTAACAGTATTAGCTAGCCAGTTAGCCGTATTGACTTATTATGGGCTTGCGATCTACGGTACGTAGGCAGGTAAACATGCCAAAATTAACACAGCGTGTATTTATTAACGTATCAAGATAAAATATTGTAGTCAGGCAACATACTGTGAGATGTGAATAGGCAACATTTCATTCCGAAGTAGTGTATTTTCTCTCGCTTCAGCTCAAATAATGTCCGCCATTGATTTAAATAAATTTTGCATCGATGCATGCTTAAAAATATGTATAAATGGATAATGCATTTGAGAAGTGCCCTCCTTGCTCCGTTTTCGCATGCTTTGATTTGGACTCATACTCCGACCTTCCCGTGCTCCAATTTGCGTGCTCTTTTTGTATTGTTTATTTCACTTTTGTTTATTAACTATTTCACTTGCTTTGGCAATGTAAACATATGTTTCCCATGCCAATAAAGCCCCTTAAATTGAATTTACAATTGAATTGAGAGAGAGGCTGGCTGACTTGCTGGCTGGTGTATTCCTGTCCTCTGGCTGGTGTATTCATGTGTGTCGTTCTCACTGTCTATCTGTCCTCTGAGGATGATGACCATTGGCCAGAAGAGAAGAGGACAGTGGACAAGACAATGTAGCCATGATGGTGACTGGCTGATATATTGCACTGCCAGACTTGGCCTTGTTGTACTGACAGATGATATACAGTATGCACGGTAAAAGTCAGGATTAGCCAATAGCCTAACTTGTCTTGTGTTCCCTGTGGCTACATTAAAGGTGTATTAGGATTAAGTTGTCACTCTAAAGAGGCCTCCCAAATCATACAGACCTAGGGCAAAGTCTTCACTTGGCGCTGGTCCAACAAACCCTCAAACCATATTCTTTATATTCTGCAAACTTGTTCCTCCATACGTTCTGCTAATCATGCACTGCTCCTTGTCCAATGCAGCTTGAGATGGTGAGAGGCAAGGAGATCAACATGTCCCTGGTTTGAGTGACGGGAGCAGAAAAAGTCCATTAGGCCTCTAAGCCTTTACTAATGCCCAGGTCTTAATTGAACTTGTATGATATGTACTGTACAGAGCAACACAGACCGATGTGTGGCTTACTGGCGTTTTGATACACTGTATTATGATGCACTCAGTACAGCAGCAAGCCAGGCATTTTCTTCTTGGAAACCTGACTGACTGACTGGATGACTACCTGACTGTTGAAGTTGACTAAACTCTTGGGTTATTCATCTAGCACATACTGACTACTGTGGGACAGGGACAGGGAGGACTTAGGTTCAGCTCTGAAACCTCTCTGGGGTCATGTCATCCCACTGAGTAGGACTTTGTGCTTGTAGAACTAAGACAAATACAAGCCTGTGTTAAACGTTAATCCAAAAGATTTGCTTGTTATGTTTTGACTAGAAAGTAGGGAGGGGAGGGGGGGGGGTCTCCTGTCCTCCTGTCCTCTGCTCTGCCTCCAGAGGGCAAGCACACACTGTCTGCCTGTCTGTCTGTAACTTCCAAGATCTGAGCCAAGGCTCTATTAGAAGACTGCCATCCACCTCCATCTCCTCCTGTGAGGTTCCTCTTAATCCTGTCTGAGGCTAGCCTCACTATTGCAGTCAGTGTATTACCCTCTTTGTCCTTCTGCATCATATTTAGTTTCTTTAGCTACATATTGTCCATGTTCTCTGAACTGAAGTTATTGATCATAGTAGGATCTTGCTGCAGTGTGTCTGTGTGTGTCTGCATCCATGATCATGTATGTGTGTGAGTGTGCAGTATGTAGCATCTGTGCGTGAGTATGCGGTTATCCTCCGTGCCTGTTGGTGTGCTGTGGAGCAGTTTTAATGGAGGTGCTGCTGCGGTAGCTGTGTTTCAGGCGGCAGGTCTGTGCTGTGGTGATGTGGCGCTACAGCGAGAGCACAGCCAGGCTGGCAGCAGGATAGCGCCATGATGGGGGGGATGACGCATAGGAGGAGGAGGGGATAGTATGAGGATAGAGAGGAGGAGGAAGGGAGGAGCTGAGGATGGGGGGAAAATAGGACTAGAGACTGGCTTAATGAACCTGCTAATGGAACACTAGAGTGTGTATGTGTGGCTCTCTCCTCTTCTTGGCAGCATGCCAGCTCCCTTTCTCTCTCTCTTCTTCTTTTACTGCACTCTCTTTTCCCTCTCTCTCTCTTCCCTCTCTAACCCTGTCAAGTCATCAGCTAGGCTGAACAACCCAGACTCATCAGCTAGGCTGAACTACCCACAGTCATCAGCTAGGCTGAACTACCCACAGTCATCAGCTAGGCTGAACAACCCAGAGTCATCAGCTAGGCTGAACAACCCAGAGTCATCAGCTAGGCTGAACAACCCAGAGTCATCAGCTAGGCTGAACAACCCAGAGTCATCAGCTAGGCTGAACTACCCAGAGTCATCAGCTAGGCTGAACTACCCAGAGTCATCAGCTAGGCTGAACAACCCAGAGTCATCAGCTAGGCTGAACAACCCAGAGTCATCAGCTAGGCTGAACAACCCACAGTCATCAGCTAGACTGAACAACCCACAGTCATCAGCTAGACTGAACTACCCAGAGTCATCAGCTAGGCTGAACAACCCAGAGTCATCAGCTAGGCTGAACAACCCAGAGTCATCAGCTAGGCTGAACTACCCAGAGTCATCAGCTAGGCTGAACTACCCAGAGTCATCAGCTAGGCTAAACAACCCAGAGTCATCAGCTAGGCTGAACTACCCAGAGTCATCAGCTAGGCTGAACAACCCAGAGTCTTGACAAGCTCTTTGTTGTCAAGAGTATCACTGCTGCTGTCTCATCTCTGTGTCCTGTTGTGTTGTGCTGTCTCTCTGCTTTGTCTCCCTGCCACTCCCCTTAGTTTACTGTTCATTTTAATCTGGGCTGGTATTTAACCTGAGGGGTAGCATATTTGCTGTGTTAAGTGCCATAATTGCACATCTCAATCCCAGGCATGCTTATATTTTCCTTATCCATTGTATTTTACTGTATTCGGTGGCTTTGTCAAAGCATTATGCTGGAGGGAAAGAAAACCCATTTTGAAAAGTAAAGTTTAGTAAACAAACATTCAACGTTACCACTCTAAAAAGTAAAAACCTAGTTCCTGCAGGATCAACCAATAATTCTGAGGCACCAGTGAATATGGGATATCTGTGGCAACCAGTCAAAAGATGGGAAAGGAAAAGGCATTAACTTACTCGGTCCTGCCCTCATACTGGATGTGGGAATGTAGCCTGAATCTACAGTAGTCCCTCCCTGCTCATTAGAACCCATTCAGAGATGATCAAGGAACATTTAGTCATATTATTCATCAGACCCATTAGATATAAGTTTAGTTTCCCGGGAGATTTATTTGAGAAGGTAGGCCTATTTCTCTATTAATCAATAGAGACATGATCTCATCAAGGCTTTTCGACTCAAAAAAATGTGATTGCTGAATCTGGGAGTGAGTGATGTGGTAGTCATCGGAAACAGTTGAAGTTCCAGTGTTTGTGTCTTGAGTCAGTAAGCCCTCTGATTGTCCTGTACTGTCTGTAGCCTACTTGTGTGGTCTCCATCTCCACTGTTGATCAGGGAGAGAACCTTTTTGGTGTCTATTAGAAAACTTTGTTGTTCCCCCACGGGGGGCCAGTATGAAAATGTATGCACTCACTAATTGGAAGTCACTCTGGATAAGAGCGTCTGCTAAATGACTAAAATGCAAAATTAGGTTTGCACAAAATGGAAAAAATTGTATTTGGCGCTCTACTCATTAAAAGGATAGAAACAGACACGTTACACACATTGAGCATTTCCATGTCAGTTCACCACAGTCTTATTGAGGATTGCCACTGCAGAGGGGATGAAGGATTTGTTTTAGGGGTGTAATGGTTCACCAAACCCACGGTTCGGTACGTATTGCAGTTTTGCGGTCACAGTTCGGTTGCGGTACAGCGGGAAAATTAAATGCAGTTCACAATGTTCAGCATTCACAATGTTCCTTGCATTGTCTGTTGTTACCGGATTGTTATGTTGGGCCTCTCCAGTTTCCACTCTGATGCTATGTTTGTAACCGTGGGAGGTGGGAATTTACTAGTTGTGAAGTTGTAAATGCCAGTTGGATGCATTCATGTGATGTGAACGCCGATTGGCTAATGGCCAACAAGCTGTGCCAACCATGAACTAAAAGTACACCTATCATGCTTGTAAACAATTTCTAGAGTTCAAAACCCACATTTAATAGATCGCTTTTTATAGAGAATATTTTGTTGCATTTACCTGCCGAAAATGCTGTTGTACAGGCCATTTCCTTAGTAGGTGACGTCAGAGGTCACTGTGTGGGAGAAGTGGGTGCTCAGGATGATAGACGAGTTTCCCACTTGTAATTAATAGGGCTGTGATAAAACCAGTATCACAATATTTTTTCCATGGCTAAAATGAAAACATGAAGCAGACCACACTCTTTGGTTCTTTACAAACCTGATGTATGTAAAATACAGTGCATTCGGAAAGTATTCAGACCCCTTCCCTTTTTCCACATTTTGTTACATTACAGCCTTATTCTAAAATTGATTAAATTACTTTTTTCCCCTCATCAATCTACACACAATACCCCATAATGACAATGAGAAAACAGGTTTTTAGAAATGTTTGCAAATTTATTAAAAATAAAAAACGGAAATACCTTATTTACATAAGTATTCAGACCCTTTGCTATGAGACTCGAAATTGAGCTCAGGTGCATCCTGTTTCCATTGATCATCCTTGAGATGTTTCTACAACTTGATTGGAGTCCACCTGTGGTAAATTCAATTGATTGGACATGATTTGGAAATGCACACACCTGTCTATATAAGATCCCACAGTTGACAGTGCATGTCAGAGCAAAAACCAAGCCATGAGGTCGAAGGAATTGTCCGTGGAGCTCAGAGACAGGATTGTGTCGAGGCACAGATCTGAGGAAGGGTACCAAACAATTTCTGCAGCATTGAAGGTCCCCATGAACACAGTGGCCTCCATCACTCTTAAATGGAAGAAGTTTGGAAGCACCAAGGCTCTTCCTAGAGCTGGCTGCCCGGCCAAACTGAGCAATTGGGGGAGAAGGGCCTTGGTCAGGGAGGTGACCAAGAACCTGATGGTCACTCTGCAGCACTCCACCAATCAGGCCTTTATGGTAGAGTGGCCAGACGGAAGCCACTCCTCAGTAAAAGGCACGACAGCCCGCTTGGAGTTTGCTAAAAGGCTCCTAAAGGACTCTCAGACCATGAGAAACAAGATTATTTGGTCCGATGAAGCCAAGATTGAACTCTTTGGCCTGAATGCCAAGCGTCACGTCTGGAGGAAACCTAGCACCATCCCTATGTTGAAGCATGGTGGTGGCAGCATCATGCTGTGGGGATGTTTTTCAGCGGCAAGGACTAGGAGACTAGTCAGGATCGACGGAAGATGAACGGAGCAAAGTACAGAGAGATCCTTGATGAAAACCTGCTCCAGAGCACTCAGGACCTCAGACTGGGGTGAAGGTTCACCTTCCAACAGGACAATGACCCTAAGCACACAGCCAAGACAACGCAGGAGTGGCTTCGGGACAAGTCTCTGAATGTCCTTGGGTGGCCCAGCCAGAGTCCGGACTTGAACCCGATCGAACATCTCTGGAGAGACCTGAAAATAGCTGTGCAGCGACGCTCCCCATCCAACCTGACAGAGCTTGAGAGGATCTGCAGAGAAGAATGGGAGAAACTCCCCAGATACAGGTGTGCCAAGCTTGTAGTCTGTCAGTAGTCTGAGAGAGGGGCCTAGCTTGAGGCCCGAGAGGCTGATCAGATGAGCGTCAGTAGGCCTAAGTGTGCCCCCTCTCCTCTTCTAAACAACAGAGAGCCACAGCACTCTTATGTAATGGGCCCTATCTAAAGGCATAACAACCAATCTCCTAGCGATCTTTCCATCTTTGTTTCTTTCTTCTCTGTGTTGAACAGTTTCAGTTGAGGGAACTGTAAACTGTATTGTTTTGCTGTAACCCAGTGTCTGCAAAATCTCTATCTCCACTTAACTCAATTAGGCTGTACAAGCATAACTTGATTACAACCGCAGTGCACAATTTATCATGCATGAGTCATGACATGGCTATGGTGTCTGTCTGAGAGAGGCTCTATATCCATAGGTCTAGGTCATCCACATTTTGTTACATTACAGCCTTATTCTAAAATTGATTAAATTACTTTTTTCCCCTCATCAATCTACACACAATACCCCATAATGACAATGAGAAAACAGGTTTTTAGAAATGTTTGCAAATTTATTAAAAATAAAAAACGGAAATACCTTATTTACATAAGTATTCAGACCCTTTGCTATGAGACTCGAAATTGAGCTCAGGTGCATCCTGTTTCCATTGATCATCCTTGAGATGTTTCTACAACTTGATTGGAGTCCACCTGTGGTAAATTCAATTGATTGGACATGATTTGGAAATGCACACACCTGTCTATATAAGATCCCACAGTTGACAGTGCATGTCAGAGCAAAAACCAAGCCATGAGGTCGAAGGAATTGTCCGTGGAGCTCAGAGACAGGATTGTGTCGAGGCACAGATCTGAGGAAGGGTACCAAACAATTTCTGCAGCATTGAAGGTCCCCATGAACACAGTGGCCTCCATCACTCTTAAATGGAAGAAGTTTGGAAGCACCAAGGCTCTTCCTAGAGCTGGCTGCCCGGCCAAACTGAGCAATTGGGGGAGAAGGGCCTTGGTCAGGGAGGTGACCAAGAACCTGATGGTCACTCTGCAGCACTCCACCAATCAGGCCTTTATGGTAGAGTGGCCAGACGGAAGCCACTCCTCAGTAAAAGGCACGACAGCCCGCTTGGAGTTTGCTAAAAGGCTCCTAAAGGACTCTCAGACCATGAGAAACAAGATTATTTGGTCCGATGAAGCCAAGATTGAACTCTTTGGCCTGAATGCCAAGCGTCACGTCTGGAGGAAACCTAGCACCATCCCTATGTTGAAGCATGGTGGTGGCAGCATCATGCTGTGGGGATGTTTTTCAGCGGCAAGGACTAGGAGACTAGTCAGGATCGACGGAAGATGAACGGAGCAAAGTACAGAGAGATCCTTGATGAAAACCTGCTCCAGAGCACTCAGGACCTCAGACTGGGGTGAAGGTTCACCTTCCAACAGGACAATGACCCTAAGCACACAGCCAAGACAACGCAGGAGTGGCTTCGGGACAAGTCTCTGAATGTCCTTGGGTGGCCCAACCAGAGTCCGGACTTGAACCCGATCGAACATCTCTGGAGAGACCTGAAAATAGCTGTGCAGCGACGCTCCCCATCCAACCTGACAGAGCTTGAGAGGATCTGCAGAGAAGAATGGGAGAAACTCCCCAGATACAGGTGTGCCAAGCTTGTAGTCTGTCAGTACTCTGAGAGAGGGGCCTAGCTTGAGGCCCGAGAGGCTGATCAGATGAGCGTCAGTAGGCCTAAGTGTGCCCCCTCTCCTCTTCTAAACAACAGAGAGCCACAGCACTCTTATGTAATGGGCCCTATCTAAAGGCATAACAACCAATCTCCTAGCGATCTTTCCATCTTTGTTTCTTTCTTCTCTGTGTTGAACAGTTTCAGTTGAGGGAACTGTAAACTGTATTGTTTTGCTGTAACCCAGTGTCTGCAAAATCTCTATCTCCACTTAACTCAATTAGGCTGTACAAGCATAACTTGATTACAACCGCAGTGCACAATTTATCATGCATGAGTCATGACATGGCTATGGTGTCTGTCTGAGAGA